CGTGGGGTTCCCCCAACACAATCAGATCACCTGCGAAGGGGAGGAGGAGGAAGCAGGTTTGGGCAGAGAAGGAAGTCAAGTGTGATCCAGGCTGACAAAGCTTCACCTTGCAGAGAGCTGTGGGGCAAGTGTTGTCACCTGTCTGAGCATCCCTCATCAGGCTAAATGGCTGGCCATTATGCCTCTGCCTTGTTCTGTTACCAGATGTCGGCATGACCTAGGTGAGGTGGCTCTCTGCAGCTGATCTAGACCATGAAGTGGGAGGTCTACTGACCACACTGCCCGTAGCTGGACACCTAGTCCTTCCCTGAAGGGAGATCTGGGTGGTGCATCTCCTTGTCTACCAAACTTACCTTTAGAACTCATTATTATCATTTTTTGTCTCCTGATTATACAATTAATACATGCCCATTATAGAAAACACAAACATAAAGAGAAAATTCATCAAATAATTACGCTCAACAAAATTCTGGAATATTTTCTTCATAGGTTCCATATGTATATGGGTGCATATATATTATTTTAATGTAATTGGAATTTTTATGTATATACAGCTTTGTGTCTTCTTTTAAAATGTTATACTAGCATATAGACCCTTTTTATATTACTAAAAATTCAGCATGCAAAAGTCAGTTGCTTTTATATACATACACAATGAACAATCCAAAAAGGAAATTAAGAAAACAATTTAATTTACAGTAGCATCAAAAAGAATAAAATACTTAGGAATAAGCTTAACCAAGAGGTAAAAGACTTGTACACTGAAAGCTACAAAACACTGCTGAGAGAAAATTAAAGACCAGTAAGTGGAAAATCATCCCTTGTCCATAGACTGGAAGACTTCATATTGCTATGATCTACAAATGCAGTGCAATCTCTGTCAAAATTCTAATGACATTTTTTTTGTAGAAATAGAAAGAAAACCCATCCTAACATTCATATGAAATCTCAAAGGAACCCAAATAGCCAAGACAATCTTGAAAAAGAACAAAGTTAGAAGTCTCACGCTTCCTGATTTCAAAACTTATTACAGAGCTGCAATAATCAAAGCAGTGTGGTAATGTCATGAAGACAGACATAAAGACCAATGAAAAGAATAGAGAGCCCAGGAAAAAAAAAACCCTCACATCTATAATAAAATGATTTTCAACAAGAGTGCCAAGACTATTCTGTGGGGAAAGGATAGTCATTTCAGTAAATGATGTTGGGGAAACTGGATATCCAAAATAAAGTTGGGGTCCAAAATAAAGTTGGACCCCTACCTTATATCATGTACAAAAATTAACTCATTAATTTTTGTTAATTTTGTTAATTTTAATCAAAGACTTAAATGTAAGACCTAAAACTATAAAGCTCTTAGAAGCAGACATGTGGGAAAGCTTCATAACATTGCATTTGGCAGTGATTTATTGGATATGACCCAAGAGCACAGGTAACAAAAGAAAAAAAAACAGATAAATTGGACTACATCAAAATTAATAACTTCTGTGCACCAAAGGACACAATCAACAGAGTGAAGGGCAGCTCACAGAATGGGGGGAAGTATTTGCAAATCATTTATATGATAAAAGGTTAATATCTATACCACATAAAGAAATCCTATGTCTTAGTCTGGGCCGCTATAACAAAGTGTCATAGAATGAATGGCTTATACAACCCACATTTATTTCTCACAGTTCTTTAGGCTGCGAAGTCCAAGGTCAAAGTAGGTATGCCAGTAGATATGGTATCTGGTGAGAACCCATTTCCTGGTTTGTAGATGGCCATCTTCTCATTGAATCTGCCTTTGGCAGAGAGCAGAAAGAGCTCTGGTCCATTTGTCTCTTTATAAGGATACCATTTACCTCCCAAAGGCCCCATCTCCTAATACCATCACAAGGGCGGTTAGAATTTCAACATATGAATTTTGGGAATACACACAAACATTCAGTCCCTAATGTCCTACAACTCAATAACAATAATAACCAAACAACCAGATTAAAAAATTGGTAAGAGACTTGAATAGACATTTCTCCAAAGAAGATACACAAACTGTTTCATTTTTTTAAAGTTAGACAAAGGTAGCTAACTGAATATAACCATTGAAATTGGGAGAAAGTGTAGGGAGGGTTATTTGTAGGTAACAATCCTTCAAAATTTGGGGGTAAAAATTCGTGAGCTAAAATCCACATCTGTCGTAGCAGGAATTCATAAGTAATGTGTAATGTTGACATATCAAGGAATAAAGATGTATGCATAATTTTTAGAGTATTTAAGTTAACTAACCATTCTGGTTCACTAAACCATAGAAACTGAAACCAGTATCTCTTTAAGATAGTTGCCTCTGGGAAGTGGGGTTAGAAGAGGATGCAGAAGGACACACAGGATATTTGCTTCTCTTTTTAAACCCTTGGTTTCTGTTAAACACCTTTTTTTTCCCTAGCAGGCATGCATTATTCTGCTTCTCAAAACTTGTAAAATGACTGCATGATTGGCCGTTATGGATAGAATAACTCATAGAAGCTTAAAATATTTAACCCTTCTTTGTGTTGTGCAGCATTTAGGATACGTCCCATTTGTGTTATTTTATATGATGTTCTTAAAAGCAGCCTTATATATAAATAAATCTTCATGCATATTTCTGGATCAAACCAACCTGTGTATAAGCTTTTATGCCTATTTTTGTATTATCTCCTGAGGAGTGAATCCTGGATATGAAATCACTAGGTTAAAGGGGTGAACATTTTAAAGCCCCTTGTTATGGACACAGACATTTTTTCCATTTCATTTTTGAGTATAGACATTTTGGTGAGAGCACTCCAAAGGATGGAAGTATCATAAAAATCTTAGTCTCTTTTAGTCCAGGCCTGTTTTCGAGGTCACGTTCTGAAGAAATGACTGGGTAGCGGTCACCACGTAGCATCTCCCTTTCTGTACCAGTGGAGTGGCCTTGGGTCACCCAACCCACAAAGGAAGGCAGGGCCAGAACCACTTACATTTAGTCAGTGAGTGCCACGGGTTAGGCCCTCTTCTAGTGACTTCATTGGACTCTGTTCATGTCTCATGTTTAATCCTCAGTACAACCTTTGGAAGGCTCTTGTCTCTGTCTTACAAGGGAAGAGCAAAGGCAAGGAGAGATGAAGTTACTTGCCCCAATGCCACACGGCCAGTAAGCAGCAGAGATGGGTCCCACACCCAGGGGTCTGAGTCTAGAGCCCAAACTGCACTCTCTGTGCTGTTACAGGCCCTTATCTGTGAGAAGCAAGTAGGCTGGGTCAGCCCCGGTCAGTGTCCACAGGAAGAGTGTAATCACACAAGGGGAGAACGCATCAGCATCTTCTTAGTTTCTAGCATATTGCCTGGTACACAGGGGACACCCAGTACCTATTTGTCGACTAAATAGATAAGCCAGACTTTACACCAAACTCCTCTACATTATTATTTTGTTTAATCTTCATGCTGTGAGGTATTTTTATCCCCATGTTACAGATGAGAGAACTGAGGTTTCCAGAGGTCAAGTCACTTGCCCAAAGTATAGAGCTGTTTCGATAGAGGAGGCATTGTAATTCAGGCCTGTAGGATTTTTTTTTTTTTTTTTTTGGCTGTGTTGGGTCTTCATTGCTACACGTGGGCTTTCTCTAGTTGCAGCGAGCGGAGGCTACTCTTGGTTGCAGTGTGCGGGTTTCTCGCTGCGGTGGCTTCTGTCTTGTTGCAGAGCACGGGCTCTAGGCTGCTGGCTAGAGTAGTTGTGGCACGTGGGCGCAGTAGTTGTGGCTCGCGGGCTCTAGAGTGCAGGCTCAGTAGTTGTGGCGCACGGGCTTAGTTGCTCCGCGGCATGTGGGATCTTCCCGGACCGGGGCTCGAACCTGTGTCCCCTGCATTGGCAGGCAGATTCCTATCCACTGCGCCACCAGGGATGCCCCAGGCCTGTAGGATTTGAAACCAGAGCTGTTTTTATTTTGCTCAGAGTGTCTTTGGGAGAATTCAAGAAGTTAATTCTTGTGAAACCCTTAGCCTAGGGGTTCTCAAAGGGTGGGAGCTTCCCCTGGGAGCTTGCTAGAAATGCCTCTTCTCGGTTCCTGCCCCAGGTCTAGTGACTCAGAATCCCCGAGGGAGGGGCCCAGCAATTTGTTTGCACAGACCCTGCAGGTGATTCTGATGTGAGCTCCGACGTAGGAGCACAGCCTTAGCCCCAAGCCTGCCCCATGCTGAGTGCAGCAGCAGCTGCTGCTGTCTTTGGCATCACGTTCTAGATCCCAAAGAAATGGTGGAGGGAGGGGAGGAATGTGGGGTGTCTAGAACTTACTGCTTCTCACAGTTGTTATTTGGTGCCAGCCCCTTCTGGCCCATCAGTGGAGTCACACTGGTCCCAGGATGTCGCAACTGGAGCCCGGAGGAAGCCTTTGAGGAGGGAGAAGTACACTGGGCACATTAAGGGAAGCTCACGTGAACTCTCGAGCTCCCCCTGGCGGGTCATTTACTGGACTGCCTGGCAGCTGGTCTGCCTCCCGCTGTGTGATGCCTCCCCAGCCACGTGCATCCTCCAGAGTGATCCTGAAGTCCAGAGCGGGCTGCACCCCTAATGGGACGTGTTCCCAGGGCGGGGAGAGCGGACAGCTTTGAGGGAAGTTGAGGGCACCCTGGATTCTTCCTCTGCCCTCTGCAAACTTCTGCCCGACTCAAAACATTTCACAGATCCTTAGTGCTGCCTTAGGTTTGTTACATATTTGATTTGAGAATTTAACATTCCTGAGCACCTGTGATGTGTCAGGCTTGGGGTGGTTGGTCCTACTGTGTGCAAGCCTCCATGTTCAGCTCCTTGAAGTGCTTGCCCCGTTTAACTTGGGCCCGGAGAGGTCCAGCGATGGTCTCAAGGCAACCAGCTAATAGGTGGCAGAGCTCGGTCTAAACCCAGGTCGGTTTCACTAACTCTGCGCTTGTTCTGCTTTAACGCAGTTGTAACTTGACTTGAAAAATGTAAAGTGTGGCCACAAACAAATCTCTCTCTCTTATCCCCATAGGTTCTACCAAACCACGGCCTCCACGCAGCAGGGTTCTTCATGGCCTTCATCCTCTCCCTGGTGCTGACCTGGGCTGTGCTTTTCTTCATGGTTCGATATCAGTGTCTGAAGGGAAGCATGCTTACCAGACATCAGGTGGGAGTCCACATGCATCCTCTCCCTGGAGGATAGTTGGTTGGTGGTAGATGTGAGGTTGAAGTTGATCCTTCAGTTCAGTCAGTCTCAACTCTGTATCAATGTCGGGACCCCCAGGGAACCGTGAGGCATGCTCATACCCAGGCCCTCCTGCACAGACTCTGACTGCTTTGTCCCGGGAGCCATTCCCAATCATTAGTAGTTTTTAAAAGCTCCCTGGATGATTCTAACAAACGACCAGGATTGGGAACCCCTGCAGTCTGACTGAATAACTGAGCGCCCACCTGTATGGCCAGCTGTGCACTCATACCACACCCTGACTCAGGTCCTGGTCTACACTTCCCTCTGAAAAGTCTTTGAAGACTTACTTTGTTTGACCTCAGGGTGAAGCCCGGATGCCTTAGCATGGCTTATAAAGAAAGTCCCCTGTGGTCCAGCTTCACACCTCAACTTCCGGCTCTACCCAATGACTGCTGAGCTCTCCACACTCACCTGGATGCTTTTATAATCCTCTCTCCGCTCTTCAATGAGCAGAACTCTGACGCATCCTTTAAGACTCATCTCGGGCCTTGCCTGTCCTTGGAAGTCATCCCTGGCCACTTCCTGGCTAAGTTGGGGACTCTCTCTCTGGGTTCCTGCACTAGCTTTTGGACCCCACCCAGCATTTATCCCCACCTGTGAACTCCTCAATCTCTGTTTTCCTGTCTTGGCCTGGGTTCCCACAGAAGCACATCCTGAGACTAAGACCCAAATGCAAACAGTTTATATGGGAAGTGATCCCAGGAAGTAATGGTAGGAGGTGGGGAAGTGAGGCGGGAAGGGAAGGCAGTCAGTCAAGCTTCCACTGTGGGCACCTGGGGCTTTATCCCACCCAGGATAAAGCCTGAGGGGAGAAGGAGCCAGGGTATTTAGCCATCAAATCCCATTGGTCATTGGTTGACGACAGGGGGTGAGGGGGCCAGGGCAAAGGGTAACGTTATTTCCCTGGCATAGGCTCTGAAAGCCAGCAGGAGCCTTCAGGGGAGGAAGCAGCATAGGTGTTGGCCGGTGGATCTTGGGCTAAAAGGCACTGAACGACAAGGGCGAGGAGACACGGATGAAGCATGGATGCTGGCTGCTGTAATCCCCATTGCCTTGTACAGAGCCTGGCGCTTAGAAGGCACTCAGTAAACGTGTGAAGGAATGAATGAGCCCCCAGCCAGAGGATGGGCAGACAGAGGAAGGAAAGCAGGGCACAGTCCTAGGGTGAGAAGGCACTGCTGGGACTGAGCACCCTGGTAGGTTGTTTGTTCCTTCAGGGCCATGGAGGCTGCAGCTGCTGTGACTCTGTCACCCAGAGGTCCAGCAGCTTGAAAGGAACATCGATCATCTTTCTCCCTCACCGTACAGTGAGGAAACTGAGGCCCGTGAAGCTCAACAACCTGCTTCACGTGGCCGAGTGTAGGCTGGACCTGGCTTCCGAGGACCACCCTGCCGCCCTCTCTGGAGGCTGGCAGTCCTGTGCCATTGTTCATTTTGTTTCTGCTTCCTGGAGAAGAGAGTTGTTATTTCAAAGTGAGGTCAGCCCACAGTCTCCTTGGCAGGCAGAAGTGAGGAAAAGAAAAATGGCCCATCTAAAAAGACATTCCACTTACTCTCCAAAAAAGACATTCCACTTACTCTCCCAAAGCTGTTATCAATCACAGAACAGAACTCACCCTGCTACTTCGATGAAGGAGCAGGATTCATTTCTTGGAGATTAAAGGCTGATTGTTACAACCGCGGGAGGAAAGCACAGTGTGAATTTGACTTAAGATCTGAAGCCTCTTATAGAATTTTTTTTTCCCGGCATCACAAAACGATCTCTCTTCACATTAAAAAAATTTTTTTCCATCGTGGTAGTAACCAAGGAGACAACATGCTGTAAACAGAAGGCAGCCTTTAGAGTTAGATAGACTTTGGGTCAAAAACCAAGCAGGCTCTTTATGAGCTGTGTGAACTCAGATAATGTCATTTCATCTCTCTGAGCTGCAGTTCCATGTACGTAAAGTGGGGGCATCAACACTCACTTGGTGTGACGGTTTCATGGTATGACACATACAGGCACAGGGACAGGAATTCTTAAATGTTAGTTATAATTATCATGCATTTCTGCAGAAATAATGATGATAGTGAGCAAAACAGATATATCATCTACCCAATCGGAGGGTTGAGCTTAATTATCTCTGATGTCACTTCCATGTGACAACTCTATAGTCTGATTAGAAACCAGCCAGATCCATGATGTTGACGTCCATCTGCCAACTGTAATTTTCCTCTGCATGATGGTGATGATGATGGTGATGGTGATGATGTTGGTGGTGATGATGATGGTGATGGTGATGATGTTGGTGATAATGGTGATGATGATGGGGATGGTGATGATGTTGGTGATAATGGTGATGATGATGATGGGGATGGTGATGATGGTGTTGATGATAATGGGGATGGTGATGATGTTGGTGATAATGGTGATGATGATGATGGGGGTGGTGATGATGATGGTGGTGATGATGATGGTGAAGTATTTTTATTACATCTTTATAGTTATAAAGGTCTTTCCATCCATTGCTCTGCTTTATCCACACAACAAGCCTGTGCAGGGCTACCAGAATTATTATCCCACTTCTTTGATGGAAAATGAGGCTCAAGGAAGTGCAATGTCTTGCCTGAGTCTTACCAGCTCACAAGTGGGTGGGGCCAGCTAGGTTCTCTGACTGCAGATCCCCACCTACTCTCATGACTTTTCCAGCTTGTGACGTTCACAAGAAGGCCTACTCAATTGTGGTTTCTGAAATTCTCCTGAAGGTTCAGCATCACGAGAGCAAGCTGGAGCGCTCCCAGTTCACCTCAGCTGATGGTATGAATGAAGATCTCACTCTAAATGACCAAATGATAGACATTCTGTCTTCAGAGGACCCCGGGAGCATGCTTCAAGCCTTAGAAGAGTAAGAATTCTAAGTCACATTATACTTCCATGGATATGATGAATGTTTTACCTATAGCAGCATGAGAGCAAACACTGAGTGTATTTCATTCATTAATTCATCCTATTAATCATTAATTTGTCATTCAGTAGTCATAATCGAACAACTGCCGTGCCCTGAACACTGTGCTTGGTATTTGAGAAAAGAGATAAGACATAGGTTGAGCTGTGAGGCAGTCTGACCTAGTGGGAAGACAAACACAGAAACAGAAGTGACCATAAAAGTTTGATGAGTACCATGCTAAGATCGGGGCTAGCTGAGCCCAGGAGAAAAAGTAATTACCTCTGAGCGGGTCATGGAGATGCTTCCCAGAGGAAGAGATATTTTAACTAATTCTTGAAGCACGGGCAGAAGTTTTTCAAGTAGATGAAGGGAGGAGAGGCTTTTCAGGCAGAGGAAAGACAGGACAGATGCCAAGATAGGAAGTGACCAAGATGTGTACATTTGGTGAAGTGTAAGGAGCTCAGTATGATTGATGTGTGGACTGGAGTATTGAGCAGTGTATTGAAGGAGAGGAAGTAACACCTTGAGAGAGAGGCCAGACCAGGTGATGTGATTGTTGGCTAAACTGAATTCAGTTCTTTTTATTTTTTATTTTATTTTAAATTTTTGTCTATTTATTTATCTATAATTTACTTTTAAGGACAGGACCTGAGTATCTTTATTTTATTTTATTACTTAGTGAGGTAATGTTGGTTTATAACATTATATATTTCACGTGTACAACATTAAATATTTCTACTTCTCTATACCCTGCAGTATGTTCACCACCAAAAATTTAATCTTCTTCCATCACCATACAGTTGATCCCCTTTACCCATTTTGCCCTCCCCCACCATTCCTCTGTGGTAACCACTATTCTGATCTCTGTATATACATGTTTGATTTTGTTCATTTATTTTGTGTTTTTGTTTGTTTATTTTCTATATTCCACATATGACTGAAATCATATGATATTTTCTTTCTCCACCTGACTTATTTCACTTACATAATACCCTCAAGGTCCATCTATGTTGTTGCAAATGGCAAGATTTCATCTTTTTATGGCTGAGTAATATTCCATACACATATCACATCTTTATCCATTCATCTGTTAATGGGCACTTAGGTTGCTTCCATATTTTGGCAATTGTAGTGATGCAGTGAGCATAGGAGTGAATGTATTTTTTTCAAATTAATGTTTTCATATTCTTTGGATAAATACCCAGAAGTGGGATAGCTGGATTATATAGTGGTTCTGTTCTTATTTTTTTTGAGGAATCTCGATACTGTTTTCCATAATGGCTGCACCAATTTACATTCCCACCAACACTTGTTATTTCTTGCCTTTTTGATAATAGTCATTCCAACAGGTGTGAGGTGATATCGCATTGTGGTTTTAATTTGCATTTCCCTAATAATTCTGCTATTGTTTTCATGTGCCTGTTGGCCATCTGTATGTCTTCTTTGAAAAAATGTCTATTCAGCTCCACCCATTTTTCAATTGGGTTGTTTTGTTGTTGAGTTGTATCTGTTCTTTATATATTTTGGGTATTACTACTTATCAGATATATTGTTTACAAATATCTTCCATCCGGTAGGTTGTTTTTCGGTTTTGCTGATAGTTTCGTTTCCTTTGCTGTGCAGAATCTTTTTAGTTTGATGTAGTTCCATTTGTTTATTTTTGCTTTAGATTCCTTTGCCTGAGGAGACATATCTGGAAAGATATTGTTAAGACCCATGACCAAGAGCATACCACCTATGTTTTCTTCTAGGAGTTTTATGGTTTCAGGTTTTACATTTAAGTCTTCAATCCATTTTGAATTGAGTTTGGTGTATGATATGAGATAGTGATCTAGTTTCATTTTTTTTTTTTGCATGTGGTTGTCCAGCTTTCCCAACACCATTTATTGAAGAGACTGTCCTTTATCCATTGTATGTTCTTTGCTCCTTTGTTGTAAATTAATTGTCCATATATGCATGGGTTTACTTCTGGGCTCTCAATTCTGTTCCATTGATCTATATATCTGTTTTTGTGCCAGTACCACACCATTTTGATTACTATGGCTTTGTAATATAGTTTGAAATCAGGGCATGTGATACCTCCAGCTTTGTTCTTTTTTCTCAGGATTGCTTTGGCTATTCAGGGTCTTTTGTGGTTCCACATAAATTTTAGAATTTTTGTTCTATTTCTGTGAAAAATGTCCTTGAGATTTTGATAGAGATTGCATTGAATCTGTAGATTACTTTAGGTAATATGGATGCTTTAGCAATGTCATTCTTCCAATCCACTAGCATGGAATATCTTTCCATTTATTTGTGCCTCCTTCAATTTCTTTCAACAGTGTTTTATAAGTTTCAGTGTACATATTTTCACTTCTTTGGTTAAATTTATTCTTAGTTATTTTATATTTTTTGCTGTGATTGTAAATGGGACTTTTTTTCTTAATTTCTCTTTCTGGTAGCTCATTGTTAGCATATAGAAATGCAACAGATTTTTGTATGTTGATTTTATACCCTGCAATTTTATGTGTTTGTTTATTATTTCTTTTCGTTTTTTTGGTGGAGTCTTTAGGGTTTTCTATGTATAAAATTAGGTCATCTGCAAATAGTGACAGCTTTACTTCTTTCTTTCCAATTTGGATAACTTTAGTTTTTTTCTTCCCTAATTATTCTGGCTAGGACTTCCAATACTGTGTGAAATAATTTCTCCCTTTAGGTCTGTTAATAATTGTTTTATATATTTTGGTGCTCCTATGTTAGGTGCATATACATTAATAACTGTTATGTCTTCTTAGTGAATTTTCCCCTTTATAATTATATACTGTTCATTTTTGTCTCTTGTTACCTTTTGGGCTTGAAGTCTATTTTGTCTGATATGAGTATGGCTACACCCCCTTTTCTGGCTGTCATTTGCTTGAAGTATCATCTTCCATCCCTTCACTTTGAACATGTGTTTGTCTTTAGAGCTGAGATGGGTCTCCTGGAGGTAGCATGTAGTTGGGTCTTGTCTTTTAATCCATCCAACCACTCCATGTCTTTTGATGGGTGAATTCAGTCCATTTACATTTAAGGTTATTATTGATAGATGAGGACTTAGTACTGCCATTTTATCTTTTGTTTCTGGTTGCTCTGTCTCTCCACTGTTTTCTTTCCCCCTATGTTTCTGTCTGCCATTTTGATTTGGTGGTTTTCTCCGATGTTTTTCTCAGTTTCCTCTTTTTATGTTTCGTGTCTCTGCCCTAGATTTATGTTTTGTGGTTTGTGTAATACTTTTCATAGATAAAATAGTCCTTTTTATGCTGATGGCATCTTATCTTCGTTCAACTCTATGGGTTCCACCTTTTTCCTCTTCCCCTTTTTGTTTTCTCAAATTATCCATTTTTATGTTGTGAGTTACCAAACTGAAGTAGTTATCATTATTTTTTCTGCTTTTTCCCCCTCCTTTAACCTTTATGCTATGATAAAATATTGTAAAACCTATTCTGGGAAAGAGTAACAATTTTCTGATTCTGTTTATCACCTTACTCAAACTTTGGGGTACTTTGCCTTTTTGTTTCTGATCAAAGGGCTCCTTTCAACATTTCTTGTAAGACAGGTCTAGTGGTGATGAACTCCCTCAGCTGTTGTTGTCTGGGAAAACCTTTATTTCTCCTTCATATCTGAATGATAACTTTGCTGGATAGAATATTATTGGGTGACAGTTTTTATCTTTCAGTATTTTGAGAATGTCATTCTGCTCCCTCCTGGCCCATAAAGCTTCTGTGGAGAAATCTGATGATAGCCTAATGGTGATTCCTTTGTAGGAACCTTTTTCTCTGTCTGCCTTTAAAATTCTTTCCTGTCATTGACTTTTGACAATTTTAGTATAGTGTGTCTTGGAGAGGGTCTTTTTGCCTTGAGGTAATTAGGTGTTCTCTTAGCTTCACAGACTTGTTTATCCAGTTCCTTTCCCAACTTTGTGAATTCTCAGTTATCATTTCTTTAAATAAACTCTCTGTTCTTTTCTCCCTCTCTTCCCTGGAATACTCATTACCTTAATGTTACCCTTCCTAAATGAGTTGAATAGCTCTCATAGAATTTCCCTGTTTTTTTAACATCTTATTTCTCTTTCCTCTTCTACTTGTATCTTTCTAGATTTCTATTTTTGAGCTCACTAATTCTCTCCTCCATATGGGCTGCTCTATTTCCAAAACATTCTAATGCATTATTTACCTTGTTTATGAGTTCTTCAGCTCTAGAATTTCTGTTTGATTCTTGTTTTGAGTTTCAATTTCTTTGGTAAAGCATTCCTTCTATTCATTCATTTTATTTCTCAGCCCATTGAGCTGCTTTTCTGAGTTTTCTTGTAGCTCACTGAGTTTCTTCATGACAGCTATTTTGAATTCTTTATATGTTAGATCCCAGTATTCCGTGACTTTAAGTTTGGTTTCTGGAGATTGTCATTTTCTTTCTGTGGTGCAGTGTTACTGTGGTTCTTCATGGTGCTTGATGAGTTGTTCCCTTGCCAGTGCATCTGAAGTAGCAAACACCTTTGTGCTTGGTTCTGAGCTGCCTCTAGTTAGATCTGAGAGTTGGCACTTTTCATCCTCCACTGCCTCTGTCAGAGGTGTGGCTCCATGTCTTCCTTATCATTTCTTGTGTCTCCGGGTTTGTTGGTGCCTTGCTGTTGCCACGGTCACTGGCATTGCTACCTGGGGCACCAGGAGGAAAGGCTTTTCTGCCGCGTCTGGGAATCCTTGAGTTGCAGGCTCTGCTACCACAAGGGGTAGTGGAGGGAAGCTGGATTCACACAGGCACCTCTGCCTTGTCCAGTGTTGCACAGTTCATGAGCTCTGCTGCTGGGGGCTAGGGGGTTGAGGGGTCAGAGTCATGGGTGCCTCAGTGGCTGGAGGGACGGGGTCCCAGACCCCACTGCCACTGCTGCCCACTTACCTATGGCCATGGGCGCTGCTGCGGCCAGGATGTCAGTCTTGTGTGCT